GTGATCTTGTGCTTGCAAGCAGTGAACCTACAGAGGGGACAGGAGTTGCCTAAGTAGAGATAAGATGACAAAGACAGCTCGTGGGTTTGAGGCTTCGGTGCTGTGTTCGAAGGGTAAATGCCTGGGAGTTGAGAAAAGGCGAACTTGGGGTGGATGGGAGGTGTGATTGGCCTCCCTCAGGTGAGAGACGAGCTCGGTGATCTCTTCTAGCCTCGACCTACTTCTGCTGGCACGGCTTGGACTGATTTTGTCCCAGTGGTTTTCCTTCCCTCTCCTGTCTTACTTGTGGGTGCCCTTAATGTAAAATATCTGGCGGTGGCTGCCCTGGTTCCTCAGCAGCAGCTGGGGAGGACGTTCTGCTGCCGCCGTTGAGCAAGACCCCACCTTTGCCCTCGGCGCAGGGCTTGGCGGAAGCTCTAACCCTTCTGTCTCCTGTATTGCTCTGATGTTTGTGCGTTTTCCAAGCCAGCACACGGGGAATCGAGAAGGCCAGTTCAGATGTCGGCACAGATTTTGTCTTAAAGCCTTGATTTATTTTTTTTTGCCTTAGGATACACTGTTGGTTCTTAACTGTTCAGAATGGCTCTCACTGCCTATTTTTGGATTTAAAAGATTCAGAAGCTTAAATCTGAAGCAGTCACATGGAGCCCCTGTAGCCAGGGGAGGAGAAACGAGCCTCTCGCAGTGCTCAGGTCTCATCCCTGTGTTACCCTGGAGGATGGGCCTCTGGAGGTGGGCAGCTGTTCCCTGAGGAAGCCTACAGGGATGCCCCCAGGCTTAGAGACCGACATTTAGGGAGCCGGTTAGCTCAGTCAGTTGAGCGTAGCACTAAGGTCGCAGGTTCCATTCCCGTTCGGTCCCCATGTGTTGCCTGATCTAGTGGCAGCAGGGAGGCTGGATTAAAATGATCTCTAAGGTCCCTTCCAGCTTAGGCCATTCTGTGATTCTGTGATTTAGAGAACCACAAGCTCTGAATTCTACCCTGGCCTTTGGGAGACAGACTGAAAAACTGCATCTTGTAAAAAACACCTTTCGAAAACTTGCAGTTCTTTCCCTCAAACTTGTGTTCAGAGTGCAATCAGAATTGGAAAAGCGCTGCTAAACTGTGGTGTGGGAGAAGAGTGGTCTTGTGGTAGAGGGGATGAAATCCCTGGGGTGAAAGGGGAAGGAAATGTGGCTTCTGGCTTTGGAGAAACTTGTTGGCTGTGTGGGTGCCGGAGCCCTGGCCCAGGCTGCCCAGAGAGGGTGCGGAGTCTCCTGCTCTGGAGACTTTCCAACCCGCCTGGACGCGTTCCTGTGGGGCTGCCCTGGGTGACCCTGCTCTGGCAGGGGGTGGCACTGGGGGATCTCCAGAGCTCCCTTCCAGCCCTGACATTCCGTGATGCTGTGATCCACAGCTTCTGTTCCTTAACGTGGTGCTGAGCCATGTGTCAGAGCCCTGGGTGCAGAAGCACGTGTACAGCTGGTCCAAAGCACTTGCAGTGTCTGCCTTGCCATGTGAGATTCTTGCCAGTCAAAAGTCAACTGCAACCTTTGGTATTTTTTTAATGAGCTTTTTAACCTTTATTTTAGGAAGTTTTCTT